TGGGAGTATAAATTGGTACAGCTACTGTGGAAAACAGTAGGAGTTTCCTCAAAAAAATAAAAAGGAGACTATCATACAGCTCAGCAATTCCGCCTCTGGGTGTTTACCTGAAGAGAATGAAAACATTAACTCAAAAAGATCTATGCATCTCATGTTCACTGCAGCATTATTTAGGATAGCCAAGATGTGGAATAACTTAAGTGTCCATCAATGGATGAATGGATAAAGAAAATGTGATATGTGGCCCCTTAGAGAGCTGACAGAAATATGGGAAGTTTTCAATTCTTGTGTTTCTGTTAAGTCATTACTTTGGTTTATTTCAGGTATTACAGAAATATAAGAAAATGTATTTACGTTTATTTAAAATTATTCTTGTGTTATCAAAATGACAATTATTTTCAAGACTTGTTTGTAACTTGCTACAAGCTGCACATTTAGGGCATAATTTACATATGTTTAGGGCAGAATCAGAGGTGGCCTGAGTCATTCCTGTAGCAGAAGTGCCTACAGACGTCATATGAGAGGCAAACAATGCCTCTCAATGCCTGGTAGCACCAAGAGTCCAAATGAAGTTCATTAATGACCACAAACTTCATTTGGACTCTTGGTAGTACCAGGACACCCACTATTTTCTCGAATCGACTTCCCTCCCACACTCTGTAATGAGAATCTCAAAGGCCTGTGCTTTTCTAGCCTCTGAGTTCCTTGGCTCCTGCCTGACTTGGCAGAACACAATGCCTCCTACTTCACACACATACTAGCCAAGATTATGAGTCCCTCACCCCCTGCCACCAAATGCAGAAGGCCATGTTCATTACCCCACTCCCCTCTTTCACTGGTTATAGCAGGGAGCACTCCCTCCTTCCAGAGAAGGCCAACCCAACAAGTGTGCTTTGGGATCCTTTTCCAGAAAAGGACTGATAATTCTACTGTTCTCTCATACATTCAGCCTCTCTCAGCTGGACACTTTCCTTCAACCTGCAAACAAGCAAATGTGTCTCTCACTTCAGGAATGAAATAAAACAAAACCCCTCCATTGTCTGCATATTCCCACATCACCTTCACAGGCAAACTTCTAGACAGTTGTCCATAATCATCTCTATTCCTCCCCTTACATTAGCTTGTCATTGCATTATAATCTGGCTTTGTTCCCATTACTCACTCAGATGGTGCTTGTCAATGTCACCATAGCCCTCCAGGGTGTTAAATGCAAAGGAAATTTCCAGGGTCAACTGACTTGACTTGTACAGGAAAGGACGTTCTCATACTGTCCTGGCTTCCTCTGACTTCCCTGGCCCTCAGTTTGGTCTCCTTTTCTGGCTCATCCTCCCCTAACGGACCCTTCAGATCACAGCTTGGAAGTCATGGTTCTGGAAAGTCTTCCCTAACGTTTCCACGTCATTATCCACCGCTGATCCCTCCAGGCACAGGACCGGCCAATCACACTTTTGCATCTATGTGGGTAGTATCTAAATACTGTTTAATTTGGAGCACTTATTTGACAACACCCCCACTATGCCGTAAGCTCCAAGAAGAAAAGAATTGAGGTCTAGTTGTCCATCATTGTGTGCCTGGCCCCCAAGAGGCACTCAAATATTTGTTCAACAGTTAAATGAAAAAGGCTCTGTCTCACAGGACGATGGTATTTTACTTGGCCAATCAGATTCTCTCCTTCAGAAGCATGACTGGGAAGTACAGATCAGTCCCTTGGAAGCATGAGAGGAAAAGAGGCGACATAAACAGAGTCCCACAGGCTGAGAAAACATCAGTGGTGCTGACCAGAGCCCAGGGTAGAACTCAGAGCCTCCTGCGGCATGGGGTTATAGCCCCCAGACTCCAGGGCTGCCTCAGGTCCCATGTAAGAGCTGCCCCCAAGTTCAGGGAAGTTCCAACCTCTCATTACTACATATATCCTTGAAGCAAACCCCATTACTTTTTTTTTTTTTTTTTTAGATTTTATTTAGGGCGCCTGGATGGTTCAGTTGGTTAAATGTCTGCTTTCCACTCGGGTCGTGATGTCGCGGTCCTGGGATTGAGTCCTACATGAGGGTCGTGATGTCGCGGTCCTGGGATTGAGTCCTACATGAGGCTGCCTGCTTCTCCCTCTGCCTCTGCCCCTTCCCCCTGCTCATGAGAGTGCTCTCTCTCTCTCTCTTTCTTGCTCATTCTCTCACTTGGTCTCAAATGAATAAATAAAAAATCTTTTAAAAAAAGATTTAAAAAAGTAAAGATTTATTTGAGAGAGACAGAGAGCACAAGCAGTGGTGGGGGGTAGGCAAAGGGAGAGGGAGAATCAGACTCCCCACTGAGCAGGGAGCCTGACATGGCACCCGATTCCAGGACCTCGAGATTATCGCCTGAGGAAGACAACTGAGCCACCCAGGTGCCCCAAATCCCATTACTCGAGGCAACTTGATGGGCGTCACTTTCTTACAGCTGAGTCTAAAGAAAACGGGAACTCCTTAGCAGGGAAAAATCCATGGAGAAGTAGTTCTTTGTGAATGAGTTGAAATACTCAAAGTAGGAGAAATGAAAACATAAGACGCCTTACATAATTCCCCCAAAAGATTTCAAGATCACTTTTGAGGAGATTAGTTGTGCACTGGAATTATTCCTAAGACCTGTGCCAAAGGCAGCAAACTTTCCTTTACAGAGATAAGGATTAACACTTACTAAAGACCCCAGACTGTTGTCTCATGATTTGAAAGACTATTACTTTGTGCACTGCATTTCTGACTTACAAAAATAATTTGTTTTTCTTTGCTTTCTAAAGAGTTTCATATATGGAGAAATAGATCTATATGTATAAATTAAACTAGTTAATTTTCTTTTCAAACTGTAACTTACTCAGGGCTTTACAAGACATTGGAAATTAAATGTGAAAACTATGTTTAAAGTCTAATTTATGACGTCCGAGCTTAGCCAGATCCCTAAAGGCAAAAATTCCAATGCCTCAGACTTACGACCAGATCATATTAAATTTAAACTGAGTAAATTAAAGAGGAAAAAAAAATAATCCTAGTACTTTCCAACTCTACACTGGGCAATAGCAGTTACTTTACTGAATCTTTTAATAGTAGTTTGGGATGAAGTGCATGATCTTACTTTGCCTTCTGGACAAAATGATGGCCGAATGGACCCACCAGGCAAGCCCAGGTCACTGCCCTGTTTTAACTGGCAAGCGGACATGTCCTTTTATAGACTGTGTAGCATAAAAGATCTCCTCTAAGTTTGATTTTTAGAGTTTTTGTTTAAATGATGACTATTAAACAGGGTGCCTGGGTGGCTCAGTTGGGTAAGTGTCCGCCTTTGTCTCAGGTCATGATTCCAGGGTCCTGGGATCGGAGTCGCAGTGGGGCTCCTTGCTCAGCTGGGAGTTTGCATCTCCTTCTCCCTCTGCCTGAGGCTCCCTCTGCTTGTGCTTTCTCTCTCTCTCAAATAAATAAATACAATCTTTTTAAAAGAAGATGCATTTCTTTAAAAAAAATAATATGAAAGCAAACAAAAAGTCAACATGTAGTAGACTACACCAGCCAATAGCGGACAGATTAGACAGTTTGATTTTTCTTAGGGAGACAACAGAGTGACACAAACACAATGTTTGGCATTAGACAGACCTGGGTCTGAATTGTGTCTCTGCCATTTCCCAGCCAACAGGGGAGAGTTCATAACCTTTCTGGACCTGGAACCCTCACTGACAAATGTAAGCTGATGATAGGACAGTGAGAAAATTAAGTGAAACAACAGTTTACCTACTATGACTGATACATAACATTTGATACCGCATTAGTTAAATGCACTGAATTAATTGGCAAATGCTTGCATCTTATAAAAAAGAGGGTCACCATACATTTTTGTAATACTTAGAAAGAATCCTTTTTTTTTTTTTTTGGTTTGTTTTTTGCCCTTTTACTGTATCAAATGAAGAGAAAGTAATGCATTTTGGTAAAGGACATAATAATATGGACTGCAAATTCCATGACATTCTTGGAAACACAAGTACTGTGTGGCTTTATCAATAATGCACTAACTTTCAGTTCATTCAGACGGGGCCTTTGTCACAGAAAGAAGCAAGAAGATATCAAAACAAAATATCCCATCGGTATTATCAATGCTGCCCAGAAAGGCAGGACCAACCCATGGACAGGATGAAACACCTTGCCTCACCCTTCCTGGTGGACCTGTGTACTGGGTATCTGTGTACTAGAAGCATAGCTCACTAAAGCTCTGCTTAGTAAAGACAAGCCCTGAGCACAGTTGGGGAGCCCACCGGCTGATTGTGTTCCCTGCCCATCACCTGTGAGTTTCCACAGGCCAGGTCTGTAGCTGGGATTAAGAAAAGTGAGGAGTTCCTCCCCTTCTTATTCAAACATCAATGCACATTGATAGCTTGTAACAAATCTCTTTTATGTGGAAGGAAAAAATACAATCAAAATGATTATTGTTAAATACAATGAAGAAAAGGCAAAATTTTCTTATTTACAGCTGAAGTCCCACCGTGCAATGGGTTTTCTCTTCCTGTTTATTTGTTAAAGAGAAAAATGAAGGAGTGAAGGAAATGAGCCAGTATTTAAATGCATTAGTTAGGGCAGGTGATTCGTGGAGAGGAATGTCTCTAACCACCACGTGACAGCACGGGACTAAGAAGGGAAAAAACAGGAATTCACGGGCCTGAGGCAAAGACATTATTGCCTTAGGATGTGGATCACCTAGTTAATTGGAGTCGCCTAAATTTTATATCAGAATGAAAGATAAAAGTTTGAATAAAACGAACAGCAGCAAAATTTCTGTATTTCACTCTGAGATTCAAATCAAGGGACACAGTTTGCTGACTGAGGCACCCAACAAAAGGGCTTTATATCCTGCTGGAGGCTTTGATAAAAGAAGGCAAGCTAAAAGCCCCACAGTGGAGAGAGATTTTGCTCCATTTGCTAACTGCAGAAAGGTTTCTAAAAAAAGGCCAAGAGCCCTTCTGCAGTGTTTGTATGGCGTTCACTCACAGTGTGGCTCGTAAGGAGGAGGAGGGTCTCCACAAGGTACGCACTCCATGTCTTGAAAACCAACAAGTTTTGTCTTCCTATAAAATCTAGAAGAGAAAAATGCCCCTTGTTAGCTCTTTCTACTAAGCTCAAAGTTGTGGCAAACAGATTCATGATAAATTATCAGTCGTCTCCATTACTGGTTTTATTAAAAAAAACAAAAACAAAAACAAAAACACAGCAACTCAAAGGCTTAAATACAACAGTATCTTAGACACAGCCTGAAAGGCAGGGACCATTCAAGAAATAATCAATTCCACTGAACATAACACCATAAGTTCTACTTAGCCACACTATAGTGAGGTGCTGGTGCCGGAGAGTAGGAGATCAGTGGCCTTTGGCATTTCTATTGTCATTTAAATGACAATACCCCTCCTAAATCAAGTGCCAGTTTTTAAACATTTGAAATTCAGAGACCAAAAAAACCCCAGCAAACTATAAAAGCAATGGAAGAATTAGGTAGATGCTTATACAGTCTTCATAAGGGGATATCTTTCTAGACATGACAAGAAACCCAGCAGCCAGAATGGAAATTAATGGTTTTCACCACACACTCACACACTCACATACACACATAAACACAAACGCGCACGCGCGCGCGCACACACACACACACACACACACAATAGTAAAGCCATCTGAAGAGTAAAAATAAATAAAGCATCATCAGCTCAGTTATTGGGAAAATTAAACTGAAAAATATTTCTAATCATAATATCGTAACTTCAGTCTGTAGTAGAAACCTTAATCATAATGGTAAAGGTGAACACTGCAATTGAAAAACAGGCAAAGCACATTAATTCCCCAAAGAAGAACATTTCATAATTTTAAAGCTTCGTAGTTAAAACTAGAATACATATTGCAATTAAATTTTTCAAAATTTAACACTGAAATGTTCAGTCTCATTAAACTAATGAGTAAAGGCAAGCTGCAATGAAAAGATCCCATTTTACTTAGAAAACTGGGAAAGTGGTGGTGTGAGCAGAGACAAAATAAGCATGTGTTTCTATGCCAGGGACATTATAAATTGCTACTTGTGGGAGGACAATGTAGCAATATGCCATCAGAACGCAATAAAAATTGTTTATATATCCTTTGACCAGTAACTTCATTATTTTGAAGTATATCCTAAAGAAACAATCAAGTGGGTGAAGCTGTATGTGTAACAATGCACTCACAGCATTGTTTATAAAAGGGAAAAAGCCAGTCCAGCACAATTTCAATATACAACAGCAGATAATGACTAACCATGGTAGTTCCAAGGCAATGGAATACAAAAATGGCCTTTAAGAAACAATGATGTAGATCTCCCATATGTATTTTTTTAACTCACGAAATAACAATAAGTAAAAAAAAAAAAAGAAAGGTGAGTAATATGATTATATATTGTACAAGCACATACTTTGGTATAGAGATCCCTTCAGATTTTTTACCAAAGCAGCTAAAATAATTTACATATATATATTTGCATTGAAAAAAATTGGAAGGGTATTATATACCAAATATTAACAGTGATTATTTCTAAATGTATTTCCAAGTCTATTTTTCTATGACAAAATGGTGATATGGAGAATAAATTTGCAGACCAAGTCTATAGAGGGCAGGATAGGTGCAATTTGGATTTCGTAATAGCAAATCTGTATGTTTTATGGTTGAAGCAAAATTTGCATTTAAAACTAGGTAAGTTATATCAAATGCCCAGATACATTCAATATTTGCTTAGCCTTCCTTTTTCATACTTCCTGATACTGAAACATATCACGAAGCTATAATAATCAATGTAGCATGTGATATACAATACAGTGTACAATATACAATACAGTATAATAAACAGTTACAGCTATAATAATCAATATTGGCATAAAGACAGACATGTAGACCAATGGAAAAAATTCTTACATATATGGTCATATGATCTTCAAAAAGAGTACCAAGACCACTACATGGGGCTGGGCAGTCTCTTTAACAGATGGTGCTGGGAAAACTGAATATCTACATGCAAAAGAATGAAGTTGGAACTTTATTTAACATCATATACAAAAACTAATTCAAAATGAACTAAATACCTAAACATAAGGCTCAAAACTATAAAACTCCTAAAAGATCAAGAAAAACTTCATGACATTGAATTTGGCAATGATTTCTTGGATATGACACCAAAAGGCAATCGAAAGGCATATGTGAGACAGGCAACAAAAGGAAAGATACATTGGGCTACGTAAAACTTAAAACTTTTATGCATCAAAAGATACAATCAACGTATAGTTATCCCCAAACTCATCAAGTTGTATACATAGTTTTACATGTCAATTATAGTAAAGTGGTTAAAAAAAAAGTTAAGTAGCATCAAAAAAGTACTAACTGATAATAAAATAATAATTTTTTTCCAGGATTAAAAAAAAGGATACAATCAATAGAGTGAAAAATGAACCTACAGTAGGGGAGAAAATATTTGCAAATCAGGAATCTGATGAGGAATTAATATCTAAAACATATAAAGAAACCCTACAACTCAAAAACAAAAATCAAATAACCTGATTAAAAAATGGGCAAAGGACATAAATAGATATTTTTCCAAAGATGATACATAAATGGCCAGTAAGCACATGAAAAGATGGCCAACAGCCAACACCCCTCATCATTAGGAAAATGCAAATCAAAACCACAATGAAGTATCACCTTATACCCATCAGGATGACTATTAAAAACAACCAAACCAAAACAATCAGAAAATAAGAAGTGTTAGGGGAGGATATGGAGAGAAATTAAAACCACCATGCACTGTTCATGGGAATGGAAAATGGTACAGAGAACCATTTTCTGTGGAGAACAGTATGGTGGTTCCTCAAAAAATTAAAAATACAACTACCGGATGACCCAGCAATTCCACTCCTCAGCTGTATCCCACAGAACTGAAGGCGGAGTGTGGAAGAGGTATTTGTACATCCATGTTCCTAGCCACATAGTTCGCAATAGTCAAAAGGTGAATGCAGCCCAAATGTCCATGGAGAAATGTACTTTCACATCCTACAGCATGAGCATGGATGAACCTTGAGGACATGTTAAGTGAAACAAACCAGTCACAAAAGACAAGTATTACAGGATTCCACTCAGAGTATGCGTGTAATCAAATTCAGATAAGCAGAAAGTCGAATGGTGGTTACCAGGAGCTGAGGGGAGGAGGAAAAGGCAACTTATCATTCAATGGGTATAGAATCTCAGTTTGGGAAGATGAAAATGTTCTGGAGATCTGCTCACAACAATGTGAATGTACTTAACATTCTGAACTGTACTCTTAAAAATGGTCAAGATGGTTAATTTTATGTTACATGTTTTTTACAACGAAAACACATGAAAAATTAAAATAAGGTAAAAACCATAGGGCAATGTAAGAGAGCTTTCTTATTAAAGATGTATTTCTTACTTAACTGTATAATATATGCAAACTAATATTATTTATCCTTTCAGCCAGAGAATTTGTCAGATAATAAGTAATTGAACATTGACACAGTCCAAAATAGTTTTATACATAAAATCTCATTCTATATAAATATAATCAGAACAAAGAGTGAAACAAAAAATGTAATAACCAACATCTTCTGTATCAACTATTGATACAGACATACATACTTTAAAACTTTTGGGGAAACACACATGGATGTTTAACATTTTTAAAATAAGGAAATCTAGTGACAGAACAGTCTTGAGGTCTGAGATTTCCCTGACAATTGAATAAAATACATTTGCCAAAAATATATAGATTAAAATATGGGTTTGAGCCATCAAGGAAATGAGGTTAGAAGGTGAGCAAATTACATCATGTTTTGAATGATCGTTAAATACAAAATAGAAATAGCCTGAAATCTTAACTGGAGAGGAAGTTGAGTGGGCACACTGATTCACGAGGATCCCGTGTGTGTAACCACTGCTCATAAGGAGAGATAGATGATGCTTGGACTTTACTCTGAGGACAGCTATCTGCAGCTACACAGAGATTATACAAAAGCATTTAGAATCTGCTCTTCTAGCTTCTTTGTGACAATGGCTTGATGGCAGAATCTAAGATTTTTTTAAACTTAATTTTAAAATTTAATTTAATTTATGTAATTAAATTTAATTTTTTAATGAAAAAAATTTTTTAACAAAATTTTCAAGACCATCAACTGACTCCTTTTTTCCTGTTTTGTACAAAGTGAGATTAAATCAGAACCCTAAAACACAGTACATTTACTAAATTATAAATTATATAGTAACCATCATAGACATTGATTTTTTTTAATTTTTGGAAGAGTTGCCTCAAAATTATCCTCCAATTTGAAGATGAAGTTACAGAAATTAGAATTTTAACATATAATTGAAAGTATTAAATGCATAAATAAATGTATCAAGCTTGAAAGATTATTTTATTTTTTCTTGCTTAGACTGCCGTGGTTTTGGGGACACAGAAACATTTCTAACTCTGCTTTCTGACCAAGTGAGAAAGAACACAAGTTTTAAAAAATAAAATAAAAGGGATTATGGACATATACAGGTGTCTGGCTAAACAGCCTTTAGTTGAACTTCAGCTTTTACTCTGGGTGTTCAGATAGCTAATGGAAAAAAAACAAAAGGAAATCATATTGGATTTTACTTAATCATGCTTTGATGAAAGGCAACATGTAAATACCTCTTTTAGATGTATTTACTAATACATTTGTATTTATTTATTTAGAAACTCTAAAGTTTCTCCAACACTTAATTTGGAGAGGAATTTTTAATTGAACTCAATCCAAATAACACCAGTTTGCCTAATGAACACCATGTGGAAAAGTGCCCTTTTAAGATATGCCTGGTTATAGGAGCCCCTGGGTGGCTCAGTCAGTTAAGCGTCCGCCTTCTGCTCAGGTCATGATTCCAGGGTCCTAGGATCGAGTCCCACATATGGCTCCTTACTCAGCAGGGAGCCTGCTTCTCCCTTTCCCTCTGCTGCTCCCCCTGCTTGTGTGCTCTCTCTCTTTGACAAATAAATTAAAACTTAAAAAAAAAAATTAGCTATCATTGTTACTAGAAAGAACTGGCAGGGGCTGGCTTATTCTTTTGGGCTGGGACCCAGGTCCCCTTAGCAGAGAAAGGATGGGAACATGGCAGGCAGAGGAGAAGGCTGGAAGCCCACTGCAAAAACCAAAACAAAACAGTCATGTAAAGCTTTCACTGGCTCCCGGGAACATTAACTGGTGATGAGGTCCCATATGTATTTGTGCTTACTGTGGGTCAGGCATTCTGCTTGGCACTCTGCATGCATTATAGTCTCCATCATTCCGCCAGTTCTGCAGGTTGGTATTATTAGATGATCATTTGTAGGTGAGAAGAATGGGTGTCAGAGAAATTGAGGTATTGGCATAAAGTCATTGGACATATTTGGAAACAAGGAGACTCTCCAATCACTCAGATTGAGGGCACAGAGGACAAACTATTCCCACGCAGTACTGCCACTGGGAAAAAGGCCACTGCTGTCCCACTGGGGCTGAGCCTCCAGGCAGCAGAAAACTCTCATCAGGTGAGGCTGAGCCTTCAGAAGGCAGGTGTAGCACTAGAAATGAAAATGCCACCCTCTGCCTGATGTTGGCATCACTTTTCTGGGAACAATATGCAATTTGCTTATTTTCTTTCTGCCTCAATTTTCCTGTCTATAAAATGGATTTCAACTATTTGCCTTCTTCACACAGATATAGTGAAGCTGGGCAAGCACTTTAAAATACTCTGGATAGCCTGGGTAAAAGCCACTATATAACTATTGCCTGGCTCGTACATTCATGCTGGCTTAGGAAGGATGTAATTTTAAACTAATCATATAAATAAACTATGAAATATCATTCAAATGTCTACTCACTTATATATGACTTTCCCACATCTAAGCATTTACTTAAAGAATGAGCAAACACTGCAGCTAAAGGCGTGGGCTCAGGTGACAATGAATGAGGTTAAGCATGAGGAAACACTTTTGGTGGGAGGTCATGGGGAGAGCATGCCCTCACTCACACTCCAGCCGCATAACCGTGTGAGTTCCCTCTTTGTAAAACCAGATCCCCTGGGCCTGTGCTTTTCCTCACTCTCTCTGCCTCTGAATCTCACATGGACTTCCTCTTCTCCCTGCCCTACAGAGGAGGAGATGGACACTGACATGCTTTTAGCAGAACTGTAGAGTAGGAACAGCAGAGATGGGCCAAGTGTTTGGTTAGTGTTCCTCAATTACATCTGCATTAGGTCGGAACTCTGGGTACTGATATTCACAGGTATCAGCATCACCTGAGATTATAGACCATTCCTTTTTTTAAAGTAGCAGATTAATTGAGATCTAATCACATATATTACAATCCATCCATGTAAAGCATACAATTAAATGGCCTTTGGTGTATTCACAGAGCTGTGCAACCATCAGAACAATCAGTTTTAGACAATTTATCACACCAAAAAAGAAACTCTGTACCCTTAAGCAGTCACCCCTGACTCTTCCCAGCAACCCCCCCCAACACACACACACCAACCACCAGCCCCAGGTAACCACTCATTTACTTTTTGTCTCTATAGATCGCCCATTCTGGACATCGCATACAAATGAAATCATGTAATACGTCTTTTGTGATTGGCTTCTTTCACTTAGCATAATGTTTTCTAGGTTCAGCCATTTTGTTGCATGAATGAGTGATTCATCCCCTTTTAACACCAAATAATATTCTCTTGTTTGAATATCCTCCAATTTGTCAACCAATTTATCAGTAGATGGATATCTGGGTTCTTCCCACTTTTTGACCATTAGGCATAATGCTGCTATGAATATTTGTGTACCCATTTTTGTGTGGCCAGGTTTCTAACTAACTGTCTTGGTTATATACCTAAAAGTAGAATTGCTTGGTCACACTGTAACTCTATTTTAACTCTTTGAGGAACTGCCAAACTGCCAAACTCTGAAGTAGCTGCACCATTTTCTACTACTAATGATGGATGATGGTTCCAGTTTCTCCACATCCTCACCAACCCTTGTCATTGTCTTTGTGGTGACAGCCATCCTAGTTGGCTTGAAGTATGTGGTTTTAATTTGCATTTCCCTGATGGCTAATGACACTGAGCATCTTTTCATGTGCTTATTTGCCGTCTGTGTATCTTCTTTGGAGAAATGTCTACTCAGATCCTTTGTCCATATTTTAATTGTGATATTGGCCTTTTCATTATTGAGTTATAAGAGTTTTATACAGTCTAGATAAGATAGTCCCCTATCACATATATGATTTATATATTGTTTCTCTAATTCTGTGGGTTGTCTTTTCGTTTTCTTGATGATATCCTTTGAAACACAAAAGATTTTAATTTGGTGAAGTGTGAGGGTTATTTTTTCTTTTATTCCCTGTGCCTTTGGTTTTAAACCATTACATTTCATACCTGCTCAGGCGCTGAGTCATAGCATAGGGTCACAGTTGGCCCATGAGGCTATTTTGTACCCTCTTTCTGCCCTTCCGGCCCACAGGTTTGTCTTCCCCTCTGCCCTCAACAAGAGCCCCAGAGCTAGCACTCACCATTCCGACAGCGGGGCTGTGATCGGTGGGGGTGCTCTGGCTGTCTAGTTAGACACCTGCCTCTGTGGTGACTGAGAGCCCGGATTCCCACGTTAGGGTCCCTGAACTCCGGGGTCCTGTCTACGTTGGGGCCTGTCTCTCGGTTCCCTGTGTCGACAGGGCTCTTCCCCCACATACCTACTCAGCAAACTGCCTCAACTCTGAGTCTTGCTCAGAGCTCAGGTAACGCGGTCACCCTCCCAGACGCTGCTGTTTGCCTAAGCATCACCGCACGAGCCTAGCCTCATCTGCCTTATCTACTCTAGGTTCTCCTTCTTTCACAGAAATCATCCTCTGCTACCTTTCTGGAATGTACGGCTTCATTATTTACCATTTAGAGCTTTCTAAAACCCTTCTTAGGATATAATCTGCACGTGGGTAGGGTTCCCAGCCTCTTTACCTCAGGGACACCTGACTTCTGCTACAGCAATACCTCCTAGCTGCTTCACAAATTGAGGTGGAAATGAGTGAATGGCTGTGATTTGCATTTCTCTGATCGCTAACCAGGTTGAACATGGCCATAGGATCACAGGCCGCACGTGTTCGCTCTTTTGTGAACAGCCCCGTCTCCTCTGTTGTCCATTTGTCCACGTTTTCTTTTTCATCGATTTATAGGGAACTCTGTAGATTCTCGTGACACTAATACTTCGTTAGTGCATGTATTCATTTTATTTATAACCAGCACCCGTCACGGGCTCACAGCCCGCGGTGAGCGCAGAGGAAGTCACGGCCACCCCACAGATGCGCTTGGGTTCCTGTGGGTGTGCCTTCACCTTTGGGACGGAACCAGGGAAAGGCGCGTTTGAAAAATCATTCCATAATCATGAGGGAAAGACATCGCCCGACCTACCCTGGCAAGCAGTCCCCGCAGACGGCGTCGCTGGTGACCGAACAGTTTGCCTTCTGGAAGCGGTTCACCACGGCGCACTCCAGGCACGGCTTGCATTTCTGAAAGCCCCAGTCCTCCTTGAACCTGTGCGGCCGGCATGTCATGCACTGGGCATCCTCCCCGTAGCCAAAGCCGCATTCCTGCAGGGATTAACAGGCAACAGAACGCTATTCAGACGTGGCAAGCGTGAAAAAGACGGCTGGGATAAAAGGAAGACCTGGTCTAATAATTACTGAGTGCTGGCCTTCCTGGATACAAAGGCGGCTCTTTCAGCAAGTTCAAATGTGTCTCCCACTGCTAATAATCTCTCTTACTAGGATAAGTATACTTAGTCATCCACTTTATTCAAGAAGCCGTGAGCATTTGAATAAGAAAGGTTCTCCGGGTCCCCCACTGCTGCATTATTGCTAGCTTATGGCAGAATTATGGCACTTTCTTCTTTTCTAATTAAGCCAGTCATGGGCATGTTCAGAAACTGAAGTCAGGGAAATATCCAGGCACTTACTCACTTATCGAGGCAGAAAATAAATACTTTGCTATCAAGAGTGATATTTTAGAAACGAGGCTAACTGTAAGAAATTGCCTAAGCTGAGAAATTTAGAGGTCTATCCAGTAGAGAGCATCTTGACGTGTTAGCTGTATGTTATTGTGTGATGGCAGGGGGATTCTGACATATTTCTTAAAGGAACACTAAATTCTCGTGTGGATTAAACTGTGTGATACTACAGGCCGCAGGCTTCTCTAGATTTGAACGTCAGCACACAATATTGCTTACCATGGATGGGCAAAACAGATGGTTCTTTGATGCATGTATGATCATTTCCACAAGGCCCATAACCAAATAAATCACAGCTTATCATATAATGTAAATACAATGCAACCATATGACTGACGTTGATATGGGTTTATGGTAGCTTTAAAAAAGTTATTAATACAGAATTAGAAGTATGATCCCATCACATTTATATTAATATAAAAATATTAATAATTAGTACTAACATTTATTGGGTGCTTACTCTGTGCTGGGAACTTCATACACATCTCATTAAGTCATACGTCTTCCAAATGAGGGAAGCAGGATCATTATTCCCATTTCATGAATGTGGGTGTGGAGCTTCCCAGAAGGTATGTACCATGGTTAAGGTACCTTAGGTACCTAAGGTACGTACCTTAACCAAGGTATATAGCTAATGTTAGAATCAGGATTTGAACCCACACTGTTTAATTCTGGAGTCAGATTCTATATCCCCGACACTATAGAATCCATCTGGTACTTCCTCTCTCCACGTGGAGAGCACACTGAGGAAGCCCACAAACACAGCTCAGTGCAGCAGAGGGAGGAAGGACTCCAACAAAATCTCTTGGTTTCCTCACCCGTACCCTTCAGATGCAGAATACAAACCCCCGTTAGTTCAAAATTCCCATTGGCCTGTCGAATTTATATACATAAAGTTCTTTATCCATACTTATATGCAGAGTCAACTAAGGCAGTACTTATTCATCAAAAATTAAACCAAAACCAACACAATGGATAGTATTCTCTGTACTCAACAAACTACTGACTAAAAGAGATTCATAATAATACTGCAATTCAGTTTTACTAATTAATTCGTATACATCTTGGAGGAGCAATACCTGCTGTCCTCATTTCCAGCCAGCCTTTCAAATGTGTACCCTGAACACACACAGCAAAGAGAGGGGGAGGAAAAAAAAGCAGAAGGTCGCCAACCTTCTGAATCCCGAGCGCTCCAACTAGACAAACTTCTAAACCAAGGCACAGACAGAAGAAGGAAAAAAAAATTGAAGAATTGATTCACGAATAGAATTTCCTTCAAATTGTTAACAGGGATTATCTCTGGGGGGTGGGGAGTGATATCCTGAGATGTTTTGAATTTTGATAATTCTGCGATCATTTAATTTTTGCCAAACAGCATCTATTACTCTGGTAATTAAGAAAACACCAAAGATACATATTCAGAAAGCATTGCCTGGGGTGTGGAGTAGGTCTCTGCGGGGAGGTCCCTGCCACTTTGAGTGCTCTGTACACAGGTGATGTGGTCATGCACTGGGGCAGAGGGTGTTCTTGCTAAGCTCTTGAAAGAGCTGAGTGCATCCAAAAACTCTCCATCAGTGACACAGGAGCCACCCTCTCACAATTTTCCAGAATCAAAGTGTGGTACATGTGACATTTGGAAGGGGGATTGGGATCTCATTGTCCACAAGCTCAGCATCTCCACGTCAAAAGTTCATGCAAGAGTAAAGTTTCAAAATCATACTTTGATCCAAGCAACTTGGATATGCAAGTTACAACGCAACAAAGAAATGGAGGAAACGGGAAGTGAGCAGAAGAGAAAACAAAGGGAAAGAGAAATGAGAACGAGAAGAAGGTGTATTTACTGGGAATAAATGTCTGAAATCCTGTTTTTCAAGTGAGGCTGACATAAGAGAAAAAGTATGTCTTCCTATGATGACATATGATAACCAGAGACACATGAGTTTGAGGGCCAATTCTTCCTCTTGTCCACTAAGCTATTTTGGGAATTCTCTGACCCTCAGTATCTCCATCTCTGAGATGGCAACAGTACATGTATGCTCCACAGGGTTGTTTTGAGGAATAAATAGGAAATATCTATTTATTTATTTATATGATATATATTATATAATTATATATGTGTGTGTGTGTGTATATATGTAAAAGTTGTAACCTATAAATCAAGCATAGGGGGACATTCACCAAATAAATGATACCTTTTTAGATTCTCTACAACCCAACAAACCAACTTTCCCGATTCAAGTATAATAAAGCCTTACTGGGGAACAAAAGGATCTTTAGACTCCAATTTTTTCTGGGTTACTTGAAATGACAATTTACATCTAAATTATTTTTATAGAATGTCTTTTGAAAAAGGTACATAAAATACAATTTAGCCATAGCCGCTTGAATCAACTACTGTGTTGTGTTGTAATACAAGAAAGTAGGAAGCCCCCATGTCTATATAGGCAGTTTTGCTCTTGTAATGCCCCTGACAGGCAGTCAACTCTCATTCCTTGCTCCTGCCGCATAGCACTGTCTCTGACATTTCACTTCCTCTCTCCATTCCTGAGAAACTAGATGAATATCTGAGCGGACATGGACTTGAAGGAATTGACAGACTCATCTCTTTTGAAAATTAAGGGATGCGCGAAGGGTTGGGAAGATCTTTGTGCTTTGCTTATTTTTTGATTCCTGACTGTATTTTGGAGTTTGTGTTGCACATACATGAGGACAGATTTGACCACTGTGTTTTTGCCCACATCCCATTGTGTGTCATTTACATGTCACTATACTTCATAGACTGAGGATTTCATGAAAAAGTTTTTGGGGGTTCACTCTATGTTCAAATCATGTATAGGAAAAACAACAGGGGCACCTAGGGGGACTTAGGTCATGATCCCAGGATCCTGGGATTGAACCTGCATCAGGCTCCTGCTCAGCAGGGAGCCTGCTTCTCCCTCCTGCTCTGCTCCTCCCCCCACTCCTGTGAGCATATGCTTGCTCTCTCTCTCTCTGAAATAAATAAAAATCTTAAAAAACAATTAAAAAAAAAAAAAAAAAGAAAAGAAAAGACAACAAAGCCAGGCACCAAATGCATCATATTTTGCCTTCATTGTCTGGATATTACTTACTGTTTCTGCTTAGAGTTTATATGTTTTAGTGGTAACAACACTAAGTTCAGAGTAAATACATGTGAGAGGTTGAGATAAGGCTGTGTGTCCATTACAAGCACAAAATAATACCTAAATGTATTAAACAGGTACTGTGACCCATATAGTCTCCTGGGAATTATCATATAGAGACTGATTATTTGGGGGAATTTAGTTTAAAATACATTGTCTCTACAGTACTTGTCATTTTTAAAAAAGATAATATCAAAACAACAACTTAATATTATTTTTAGGCTTTTAAAAAATGCTTGCAGTTCATGATAGTCTAAGAAATTTATGAAGTGATCATTCTGGATGTAGAGAAGATATTTCCAAGGAATTACATGACAGCACACTGTCCATAGCGGCAACCTCGTTTAGAGCGACTGTCATGTTTCTAAAGCGCCATCAACACAGAGATGCTGTAATTATTTGAAGTCCAGGTTATAATGTAAACAGCATATAAACATTAAATTACCCCCAATATAAATGTCTACTTTGATGTTTTTATTTCATTCAATAAAACTAGGTGGTTAAAATGCCTTGAAACCTTCCCCGTAAAGTTCAGTAAGAACTACCAAGAGCAAAAGCGGGAACGCTGAACAGCTCCAAGGGCAGGCAGCACCACAGCCTCCTGGCCAGGGCAGCGCTAGTGCACATGCGTCGAAATCGTGCCTCTGTAAACTCGGGTCCACCCCCAATGGCCGGCAGGCAATGCTTTCTGATCCCTTTTCTTTTTATCACTTTTTACACTGAAAAACTACTAGCACACACAAGATTTTCATAAACAATCAAACAGTACCCCTTCCTTCCCATCCCTGGTCTCTTCACTTCCTATTCCTTCCACAGAGGCAAACATTGCTACCAGGTTTTGGGAAACCCTCCCAGAAATATCCTAATACCGTGTGTGTATCTTTTTTTTTTTTTTTTTTTTTTTTTAAGATTTTATTTATTTACTTGAGAGAGAATGGGAGAGAGAGAGAGCATGAGAGTGAGGGAGGCCCAAGGAAGAAGCAGACTGCCCACTGAGCAGGAAGGCAGTTACTTCACCAAGTATTCCCTACCCAATGCATTTTGGAGAGTGCTACCTATCAGCATATACAGAGTACGCCATTGTGTGGTTACAGCTGAATTTGTTCTACGGAGCCTGGTCATCACTGCATCCCAAGAGCAGGAGGCAGGGGGCAACCACAGATGTCTGTTGAAGTAAGTTGGCATTTATCACGTGATCTAATCTTGCATCTAATGGAAACAGTATGGAATATTTTGGGTTTTCCCCCCATTACTTTTGCATATAAAGGGGGCAATTTCCCTAGGCAAATGGTTTCCCACAGCAGGCTAGTATACTACCATTGGGAATAAAAGAAATGGTAGGAATGGATTTTTGGTGAGATAAAACAAAGAGTACTTAAAGAAGAGGGTTAGCTGGCCATGCTGACTGTGGTTAGGTTTACCT